CGAACCCGTGTCGCCTGCATCGGCAGGCGGACTCTCAACCACTGCACCACCAGGGAAGCCCTACTTCATCTTTTTATGCTTCATTTTCTGCTGGGTTTCCTCTCAGTGGGGCTGTTGTGAGGAGCAATCAGATTGATACAAGTAAAGCACAGTCTGGTTTATAATCTTGCTTAGCCACTGAATGTTAAATATTGTTAGGTTGCCAGTTTGATTTAGTTTGAAGGAAAGGAAAATCTCTCTTAAGGAGAGACAATGTGGTATAGCAAACTAATACATATAGATTTTGAAGTTGAACAGATTTGATTTGAACCCTAGCTCTATCGCCTATTTGCTGGATACTAGCTAGGGCAAGTGATTTAATCTTTCTACATTTTTCTTCACAGCAATATATTCATTTACAACCTATGACTTTAGCTCCTTTTTCCAGAGAAAATTGAGGCAAACAAGTGTGATATCTTTCAAACTTCTCCCATACCTGCTTGGCTTTATTTTTAGCAAGACTGAGGATACATGACAGTCTGCATCTGTGTCCCTTTTATGTGCTCTCAGAGTGTACCATGCATACATCTAAAATCATACTTAGCCAACTATTGAAAGTTCTATATTGCTTATCATTCAACCCCATTAGGTAAGTTCCTTGCAAGTAGAATTTTATCTTTGTCTTTCTGTTGCTTAATGCATAGTGAAAGCTTTAATAAGTGTTTGTTGAATGAAGGAATAAAAACAAATTTGAAACAAGTTGTTATGTATTTGATTCAGTTTATTGACTGCCTGTGCAGTGCTGGGTTTTTTACACTCATCTCGAATCCTTAAAACAACCATATGAAGTGTTGCTAGCTTCACTTCCTAGATTAGGAAACTAAGGCTCAGATAATTTAAACGTGTCCAAGGACCCGAGGTAGAGAACTGTACATTTGTACAATTTGTAGTCATAGGAGAAAGGAGAAAGGATCTTCTGACAGAAGCTTTGGCCTTACAGAGAGGAATGCAGCAACTGCCAAGCAGCAGCCTGCCCAGGAGGGAGCAGGGTGAGAAATTCTGTTTCCTGATTCCTTTCTTTCCACCCCATGTCCTGCCAGTGCCTCTCTGGATGAAATCAACCAGAAGCTAGAGGGCAAGGGAGCCTGTGGGGTGCAGACTTTAGAGGTTGGTGCCCTGGGGTGTGGAGCAGGGTGGAGATGGATCTGAAAAGAAAAATAGAGAATATCCTTTCTGTCCGTTAGCATTCACTCACCCTTTGGGCATAAGGCTCCTGTTCCTAACTCGGGAAGCGCAAGGTCCTCTAGTCACTGCAGCCAGTTCATTCGTGCTCCCACATGGAGGCACTGCTAGTGTTCTTTGTGAAATGTAACAGAAAAAAACTAAAACAAAGCTGCTGTAGTCTCTGTGTCTGTAGCTAATCTTTTGGCTCAAGTTGGTAATCATTCCTTTTTTCTTCTAGTACTTATTTTACGTTCCCCTTACCCTCTGCCAGGTCAGTAGCTGCTTACCAGATGTCAGGGGTTATGCTTATTTTCTCCAGCAAAAGTATCCCATCTGGAATTGCAGGCGTGATTGGCATCACCATCTGGTTAAATTTGTAGTGATCCATAGTCATGCTCTAAGGTCTTTTGCCTTTGGTCTAGGTAAACAGGCATGCCAAACGGGGATGTAATAGGAACCAACACCCCTGCATCCTTCAAATTTTTGATAGTGGTACTGGTTTGTGAGCTTCTCCAGGGATGGGGTATAGTTATTGGTTTGCTTTCTTTGTGTGGAAACGGGGGACGGTTCCAAGGGTTTCTTCATGGCCCTGTCTTCCCTAATGGCTTTTATGACAGAACAGGGAATCAATGCAGGGATTTGGCCAGTTACTAAGTATATCTGTTTCCACTAAAATTCTAGGACTAGGGAAATAACCTGGGCCTGTGCTCCCATTGGACCCACCATGAGATACCAGGGTTGACTTTATCTCTCACCTCCTCTCTGGAGTGAGATGGGTGCTCTGACTGGTGGACCACGTTTTAGGTCTCCTGGGATTAGTATCAGTTCAGAGCTAGTGTCCAGTAACCCTTGGAAAGACTATGCATTTCTCTTTCCCCAGTGGACAGTCACCCTTGTGAATGGCTGCTGGTTCCTCTTAGGTAAGGTCTGGAGAAAGCTTGGTGGGATACATCTGTGGCTGTGTGTAGGGGCACAGCAATCTTACACTCAGTCCTCCTTGGTCTAACATCCTGTGAATGTTAGGCTCCTCTCAGTAGGCTTTGAACTTCTTTCGGGGCTCTTTTGGCATCTAATTCCCATTAGGAGGCCATGAGGGGTTAGTGGGAGTAGGTGGTGAAGAGAAGTGGTGTCCCCTTGTGAAACAACTTGAAAGGGTTTTATGGGAGGTGGGTTAGGAGGCTGGGTCTTCTCAGAGGGCTGTAAATTGCTGATTTCAGCAGACATGTTCAGCTGAATGTGGAGTTCAACATTCTTAGCCTCATTTGTATCTGCCCCAGTGCCTGCATCCATGATTTAGGATCATTTGACTTTGCAGGGTTGCATGTTTAATTGGTTCTGCAGCCCTTATCATCAAACTGTGGCTTGATCCTTAGCCCTGTCAGATTAGCAGCTATTAGAAAAAAAGGACTCCTTTATAACAGCCATAGATTTTCCACTCATCTGTTTGGGAATTCATAACTTTCAATTTGTTGTTTGCTTGGTGCACATTCTCAGAGACAATCAGAAGCAGCCGCAGCCCATGTCACAACCTTTGAAATCAACATTTTCATCATCTACTTGGACTTACAGCACCTTGCTCACCACCTATACTTCATCCTGTGACAGGGAATTTGAGTGATCTTGGTATCACTATGTGCCAGATTATCAGTTTCCCCTCCCCTCCCTCTATAGGAAGGTTATCAGGATGCATCAAACATGCATCCCATTTTTGAGGGTCTGCTTCCTGGGGTCATTCTTGGTAGCAGTTACTGCATCAGTCGTGACACACTTGAGTAATTGAAGGGACTCGAACAAAGGGACTGTTTACTAAGCTGTTGTGGGCAGAGGTGACAGAAGCAGCAGCAGCAGGGCGTGGTGAAGCACCCCTTCTAACAGTGTTTGGAAGCCGTACTACTCCCAGGCCTTTAACTGTAGCTGTGGGAGAGGGGTCACCTGGTGGGGACTGTGGCCTTGGGTGGAGAAATCGCTGCCTGTTAGAAAGGGAGGAAGAGAACTAAATACCTCCTCCTACCCTTCCATCTCCTGCTAGTGCCTCGCGTTGGATGAACCCAACCAGAAGCCAGAGGGCAAGGGCAGGAGGCAGGCTGCCTCAGTGTGAGGTCCACAGAGGCCCGCCTTCTGGGCCGTGGCGTGGGGAGAAGATTGGTGTTGGATCTGGAAGGGCAAATGGGGAGCATTTAGCACTCTTGCCAGACTGGTATTTCTGGCCCAGATTTGAGTGTGCCCCTTGAGTGCTGGGCTCCACACTTAACCGCCTGCTGTCCACGTAGGCTGAGATGTCCCCTGGGCACCTTTTGTGGACAACTTATCCATCCCCCCCAGGTCTTTCTCCCTCGTCTGTTCCTGATGCCACTTAATGTCATATCTTAATGTCCGTTCCATAGGGAAGGCCTGAGGCGTGATGTTCTCCTTTAGTTCTGCTCCTCCGGACCACGCACGGTAAGGCACAGTAGGCTTTCAAGCGCATACGTAAATATAGTACCAGCAGGCCCTACCACCCCCTGGATCCACATTCTCAAGGGACAGGTGTGGCTAGTGTAGCACCATAACCTTCACCTTCTCATCATGTCTGCTGCAGATGGAGCAGAATGCGCTGGTGTGGCTCCTGGGGCTCTTGGACAGGGCTCACCTGCCTTTGAAGAGCTGTGGTTCCACTTGCTCTGATTGTTTAGCAGAAGAGCACTGTGCCTGGAGGACAAGGCTTTTGTCAAGATGGTGCCCTGGTCTAGTGGAGCGGGGCTGGGGGGAGGGGAAAGCTGCTCTTGTGGGGTTTTAGGGTAGTCTAACTTGTAACAAATGCTGCACCCTAAGCTTAGGAGGGGACCATGTTTTCTAACAACTAATTTAACTGCATATAAATCCTTCCTGACTGCATTTCCAGCAGCAAGTGCAACAAAGTAGGCTTTGAATCATTTCAAAGGAACCACCTTTGTAATCAATTAAATTTCATTATACCTGATTATTTGATGTCTGCTGATAGATACCTGAAATCATTACTTGAATATAATTTATTTGCAACTGTTAGATCAGTCACAGTGACTTCCTGAAATTAATCACCGAGGGAACCTGGCGGACTAACCCTTTAAAAGGTATTATTTGGTGTCAGTGGAGACTGTGGGCTGCTGTGTGTAGCAAAGGTGACATCAGTGTGACATCTTGAGCCCTTTATCCATGGGTGGGATGATAATATTAGCATAATTGTATTTGTTTTGTATGAAGATCTACTGTAATATCTCTGACCAGGGGTCCAGTGCATAAGAATTATCCATAGTTGTTAAAATGCAGCCTAGCACAGTGGGTAAGAGTCAGGACCCTGGAGCCAGACAGCTTGGCTTCAAATCATTTAACCTGTCTGTGTGACAGTTGCCTCATTTGTAAAATGGGGGGTAAATTATTAGCTTACCATACAGGTTCCTAATCTGAAGCAAACTTCACCTGTTCATCTTGATGCTAGAAGCTTGAAAACCATCCTTTGAAAAACCCTGCTCTTAAATCCATCAAACTAGAGTCCTTTTAGTTGACTCTAGTTTAGTCCCTTAGTCCATATGAGCCATGGTGTATAAACTCCTGGAGTTCCTTAGTAGAAAAGAAGGTAGATGGGACGTAAATGTTTGATTGTGACTTAGCTATTGACAGGGACATAACAGAAACTGTGTTTCTCACCTGGGCTGAGACTTATGATCAAAAGTAAATTCCTGCCAGAATAAGCATAAAATGGGTTCTGTGAGCAAGGAATGGCAAATCACGGTATTTTAAAATCATTTTGCTAATTTTTTTTTTTTTTTCTGTTGGTTAAGGTTGCATGATGGAATTTGAACATTACCTCAAGAGGTTTTATGTTTTGGATTAGCTAATTGTGTTTGTCCTCTGCTGACTATTTCTTCGGACTCATTTTTTGGTGTCCTTTTGAGGCAGTAAACTCAAAGGGATTATACCATGGACTACAAGGAAAGCTGTCCAAGTGTAAGCATTCCCAGCTCTGATGAACACAGAGAGAAAAAGAAGAGGTTTACTGTAAGTATGTAATGTAAAGCATATGGAACAAAATGGAACGTAGAGAATATTTCCAATTCTGCTGTTCTTCCTTAACCTAGAATGGCCTCCCCAGACTTTGCAGATTTTACTTATCTTTCAAATGATATATCCTCCACAGTCTTCTCTGTGTACTATAATGGAATACAATTTCCTTTTTTAGTGCAGAGTTTTGCCTGTTTACCTCTCCCTTTGGAGAAACTTGTGAAACTGTCTGATAGACCATCTCACCAGAAAATGTGCATACACGTGGTTCTGTGACACATCACATCTCAGGGTCAATGGACTCAAAAGTCATTGATCCCATGTGAAGAACCACTGTCTTGAAATTTCCACAGTATCTTTCTTAAGACATTTGTTATTTTCTGTCTCCATTTAAAAAATATTTAATTTTTTAAATGAGTATTCTATCTCATTTTTTCACCATAAAGGTAAAGTCCATTTCTAATTTTACTTTTTATCACCATGGTATCTACTGTAGGACTTTATAAAGAATAAGCACAATGAATATTTGGCTGAGTCAGTGTATCAGTGACCGCTGTTTGGAGAATAGTCACTTTTCTAATTAGTGTAATGAAACGTATTGTATTTAGTTCCAGTAGTCTTGTTAGTATATACAGAGATCTGCTGTCCTCCTCTCCCTGAAAAAAATGTCATTTATCGTGTCTGTAACTGATCTGGCCTTCCTTGTAAGGCCCCACCCACTGAGCAGTGTGAAGAAATTCATTTAACCCAATTCTGTTCAACAGTTTGAGCTAAAATTTAAGCAGTTCTTTTTTTTTTTGCGGTACGCAGGCCTCTCACTGTTGTGGCCTCTCCTGTTGCGGAGCACAGGCTCTGGACAGGCTCAGCGGCCATGGCTCATGGGCCCAGCCGCTCCGCGGCATGTGGGATCTTCCCGGACCGGGGCATGAACCCGGGTCCCCTGCATCGGCAGGCGGACTCTGAACCACTGCGCCACCAGGGAAGCCCTAAGCAGTTCTTTTAAGTAAAAATGCCCAGGCTGTCTTCATTGTGCTCTCTTTCTCTTATTTGAACACACACTCCTTCTCCAACTTGGCATCATGGTTTGTGGCAGGAGAGGTGTCCCCTTTCACAATGTTTGTTCAGTTGATGACTAACCTCATGGTAGCCTGGTGAAGGCTTGACATTCTTGTCATCGTCTAGATCTTTGCCATTCCAGGTGTAGAGTGACTGGTCTGGCAGACATCCAGCTGTGGTTGACCTGCCAGTCCTGGGCATTTTGTTGGCATCCACTGCTGGCGTCTGCAGTTGATGAACTGATTTGTGATCTGCCCTTTGTTGGCTTGGCAAGGGTCGTGGTGACTGACTGCTGACTCAGCTTCCCCTTGGCTCGTGATGGCTGTAGACCCCACTGAAGCTCTGCGTGCCCTCCACCTTCTCCTGACTCAGGTGGTCTACCGTGGTCTCTGACCAGGGGGTCACCCGGCCCCTGCCAGCTGAGTGCCGTGACAAGTGACTTTCAGCTCAGGTCCATGTCACATGGGAGTTGAGGAAAGCTGAGGAGTTCACCTAAACCCTTGGACCACCCCACCCTGCCTTCTTAACTAGGTGGGGTGGGGCCCCCCCAATGGTGGTTTTCTCCCAGAGCCTCAGACAAGGAGCTGGAAATAGCCCTTCTGTCTTCTGTTCTCCCTTCCTTAATAAGCATACCTCCACACCCTGCATAGAAGCCCAGAGCAGAGAGATTGCAGTGTGTGTCTGGCCATTTGCCTTTCCTCAGATGTTGCAGCAATGTCTTCAGCATTTCTTCCACATTCATATAAGCCAGTTTTAGAAACATCATATTGATGGTAAACAAGAGGTTGGTATACTTAGCATAAGATAGTGGAGTGTGTGAAGTTTTCCTTCCTTCCCTCTCCTTATTTTTACCTTTGGACCATTCTCTCCTTCAAGGGCATAGCCTTCTGCCAAGTTTGATGGAAGTTCATACATAGCAAATACAGGCAATGGGTTATCTCAGGTGTCCTTTTGTTTTTCATGGTAGAGGTATTTCCACGTCTTCTATGAAAAGGTCGAGGAGGCCTATAGTGTCACTCTTACCAGCTGTCCCCAGAGGTGTCCCCTGAGTTCTCCAAGGCTCTATCCAGATCCCCTTGTTCACTTCCTTCCTTCAGATGCTCAGATGTTGCCTTGTTGTTAGAGAGGGTTTTTCTGACCACCCTATATAAAATAGCATCTTCACACTCTGCCCCTTTCACACTCTGTCCTGCTTACCCTGTGTAGTTTTGTAATAGCAGTTATCACCACCTGACATATTTTGGGTTTATTTATCTGTGCTTTCCCTGAATTTGTTCTTTGAAGCAAGAACTTCCCTCACTATTGTTTCACCAATACCTAGAACAGAGATGGACATTCGGTAAGTATTTGTTGAATTGAAGTTGAATGAAAAGTAGGATTAAGTTCACATGTTAGTTGTTGATCACTGCAGTACAGTCCCCGGTCCTCAGGAAACTTGGTTCTACTCTACACAGACAGACTCGACCCCACCCAGCACAGACTCTGTCCAGCTTAAGCATGTCTGTGTATTATTGGGGAACAAAAATAGACACTGCGTTAACTATTCAATAATATATATATATATATATTTTTTTGCGGTATGCTGGCCTCTCACCACTGTGGCCTCTCCCGTTGCGGAGCACAGGCTCCGGACACGCAGGCCCAGTGGCCATGGCTCACGGGCCCAGCCGCTCCACAGCATGCGGGATTCTCCCGGACCGGGGCATGAACCCGTGTCCCCTGCATCGGCAGGCAGACTCTCAACCACTGCGCCACCAGGGAAGCCCCTCAATAATATTTT